TATATATGGGCAATTCCACGGTAACGGAATCACAAATCACAACATTATATTTTTGGCTTATTTTCACAAACCCAGAAAATTAGGGCGTGCATTGAATAATAACTATTATAGATGTAAGTAATACATACACCTAACAATATCAAACAGTGGTACTTGGAAAAAAAAAACTAACAATATTTTGAAATTTTGACCAGTTGCATTTCGGTAACGGAATTACACAGAACTTTTCAATTTTAATTTTGATCACGGAATGTAAGATTCTGTCTGAATATTATAACAAATTAACATTAGTGACTGGTATTGCAGTCTGGACAAAAGGTGTGGCTAAACTGTTAATGAAAGTTTGCTGCTCATATGTTTATGGTTTAGTTGTATTTGATTATAATGTTAAAAAAAAATCTAACTATCGAAAAAAGAAATGGTAATAATCTTTATAGTGTACTTGAGTACTTGGTTAACTGTATTTGTATGGTTTTGTTTTGTAACGGAATTACACGACAATATTGGAGTTACATGTCCGATAGAACATGGACGTGGATTAAAATATCAAACTATCCAAAGACAATGTGTTGATAGTATTTAGTGTACTGTACTTTATAGAACTACATCATATGATTCTAAGCTAATTTAACTACAGTACAGTAGGCATAAATATTATGTTTCTCCCGCACCTACTGTTCCCACAATAATCCGAAAACGTTATTCTAGAATGCATATCCATCTTTGGTTCACATAGCTCGGTACTATGCAAGATCTATCCACTATGAATGTCATCAATTGGCCACAAATTAACAAAATTCAATTATTTTAACAAACTTTAGGGTAAAATTGTCATTGTGACTTTCAAGAACCCGACCAACAAATGTGTTGGCATTCTTCTGGCAAAAGTACTTAACAACCACCTGCTTCAGGTCGGATCTATAGACAATTTATTATCACTTTCGACTGTAGGCCTATAACATTACTTGTACCATCATGAGCTTGATTACTATCTTCAACTTCATCAATATCACTATCTCCAGCTAGCATCATCACTGACATCTGCATCATCACAATCATCACTAAATTCAGCTTATCACTATCTGCTAAGGTCATTTGCTGTCACTTTGTCATTTTAATAGGCTCCATTGGACATAAGTATCAATCTGAATCAATGCTATGGAGAAATATGGACAGTATATTTTGTAATAGTGAAGTTCTATTAACTGTATTCATGACCTAATGTAATTCCGTAACCATGTAATTCCGTTACCAAATGCAATTCCGTTACCAAATTTTCTACAAAACTAGCAAAGATCAAAGAAATCTGTTGGTGTATGCCTACTAAGAGAATATAAAGTGACTTGAGTTTATGGACATTTGTTTGCTCACAGAAAAACATTAATCCCTTTTTTGGTAACGGAATTTGTCTCTACAAAACATGTTTTGTATACGGTGTGATATTACCCAATATGCCAACTTGCTGTGAAAATTTTAAGATGCCACGTCGGAGTCTATCACAATATTTGAGTTCTATGGACCATTATGTCAAAATATTCAGAATAATTCAGGAAGGGTTGAGTTGGATAATATTTTTTTTTAAATTCTGAATCATATGCTCAAATATACCGGTGGATTTTGAGACTAAAATTTCAATTCGAACCAATTTCTACATATGTTTCTGCTCTGAAACTGAAACCCAAGTTTAGATACAAGTGGATTAAATTTTTGGTTGTTTTGGCCTTCCAATGTAGATATGAAATCTTAACAAATTTTCAGTTACATGGACTGCTAAATGCATGTACTGTACCAACGTAAGAAATTGGACACGGTTGCCAACAAGTAAATACCCCAATGCAGAAAGTTCTTTCAAACCAACGTGTTCTCTAGGATTAAGATTTAAAGAATAAGCTTCATTATCATATTTTGAGTGGTTTGCATTTCATGTTTGAGTTTTGCGTTAACGTCAACGTAGATTGAAGGAGCAGCATAGTAAAGCTGAATTTAAGCTATATAATAATTTCTATATTGCTTGTCAACATAACTTGCCTGCCTATATCTTACCTTATTTTATCTTATCTAAAAATAATATTTTCAATAAAAATTACTGGTACTGTATTCTCAGTGTAAAATATAAAAATTGCATATTTAAAATTTAAAATAGTGTTAATTATACAGTATAGGCCTATATACTGTAAATCGCGTTGTAAATCACAGACCCTTATATGCAGCTCGTTACAATTAAAGAACAATTTATTCTTTACAATTACAAACCGATTGTTAAAAAAATAAAATAAAAAATAACACCAAAAAAAGAAATTAATCATTTTCCCAAGGCCTTCCTAATATGTCTATACCACTTTCCCTTATAGCGGAAATCTAGACGTACATTTGCTGTGGAAGAGAGGACACCTTTTTTTATTTGCTTTTTGCAAATGTTTTGGACTATTTATCTGTTGTTCTTTTGAAATCTCCACAATTGCCTGTCTTAAAACGCTTCCACAGAGAGCCCTTGCCGTGGCATCAACACCATGAACCAAGTCTTCATCAATTGAAATCACTTGTACTGATTTGTCTTCCTTAGAATCAGTACAATCCACGATACCCCCGTGGGCGAGTTGGCTGTCACTGTAGTACAAGTTGTGTTCATTTTTTGCAGCTTCAGTCTGTATTTGCTCGATTTGTTCAGCGTTCGTCTGCGCACGGTGAAGACACTTGTTCACAATTCGTCGAGCGTCTGTACGTATTTTCAACAGGTCGATGTAACTTATTCGGTCTTTGACTTCATTGAGTTCGTCTAGAAACCAATCTTTATTATCTGGACTTGGCCGGGGAATATTTTCACTTCGAAATTCCATGGCATTTGCTCAACAAGCCAATACTTTTGCTCTTGATTTAAACTACAACAAAAGCCTTGTATCCACCGCGACTTAAGTAGATAAACAATCAGCCTCGTAGTAACAGTTGTGTCTGTTAGCAGAAAGTAAAAATAAATGCAGATGATGATAGCCTAGCTTATGATACAGTACACTGTTTAGGCACCACATACAATATATTTGATATATAGTAGTTTAGTATAGGCCTGTACACAAAGTTAACATATAGGTCTAACCTACAGATTAGTCTGTAAAATAGCACTTTAAAACAATATATATATATATATATATATATACAATATATAATAATAATATTGTATTCATCATAATACAATATATAGTAACAAGATGTGTATAAGACAGTTGTATATATATATATGTTATATATATATATATATATATATATATATATATATTTATTCATTTATATTTACATAGGCCTATATAGACATTGTCTGTGAAATACAATAATTAATATGACCTAAAATATATACCTAGGCCTAGTACTAGTAGAGTAATATAGTAGTACTAGTAGTAGTATAGTATAGTAGGCCTATATAGACCTAGCCTAGGCCTACCTAGGTCTATCTAGGTTTACGTCTCTGGGCCTAGGTTTACGTTTATGCTAGGCCTGGGCCTAAAGGCAAAAAAAAAAAATAAATAAAAACTAACTAAAAAAAATATTGTAGGTCACTCAAAGTTCTTATAAAAATAATTTTGAATTGAAAGAGAATTAAACTGAATTTGAATTTTGAAATTCGTGTGCGATGAACCAGTGCACGAAGAGCGATCGGATCGTGTTTTGAATGAATTTTATAGACAAAGATACCACAAAAAACTTACAAATGTAGGCGAAACGTACAATTTATACACCTCACTAATCAGGGATTAAAAATACGTCGAATACAACGGAAATTTAAAGGAAATCGAAAAAGAATACGCTCCCCTTTGCACGTAAGGCGCGGGCATTGTGTTACGTTGGTTACACACGCCAACACAATAGAAACGCGTACACATGAATTTGGGTTAAAAAAGGGTAAAAGAAACGAAATCTTGGGATATATAAATATAAAATGTATGGCCATATTATGGTGTAATTATAATGATGTTATCATGACCATATTTAGGCATGTCACATGTTTTTGTCAAATATAATTACATATATCACGTGATGACTATGGGCTTACAACAGCCGAATAGGTGTTGGTCAGATAAAAAAAAATTAGTCATAATGTTGGTTTTAACCAAGAAAGGAAATGAAAACTGAGATCTCTGAGCAGCATCTTACAAACATCTTAGTACATCACAGATAAGTATCCAACTACAATCCATATTGAACAATGTAACAAATCCGTATAATTTCAATAAATTGCGTAAAAAATTCTATCAAAACGAAATTGTATTAATTAAAAATAAAAATAATTTCACGTTGGTAGTAATATCCTCATTATGCTAAAAAATATCTGTATTTGTGACTTTCATTTCAGTCAAAACATTTCCACTTTGTTCAGTATGTAACATTGAAAGATAAAATAAAAATTTACTAAAATGCAGTCCGATACATCCGCCACCGATCGCGTCAAAACGCAGGCCCACCATCGTACCTCTTACTGTTTTAATTGTGAATATCTTTTACTTGTTAACACCCAATCGGTGTGATGTTCTCCCCTGTCGTTCGACGAATTACTAGGTCGTCGGATCAAAAATTAAAAAAATTATAATGTTGCTATCCAAATAACCTTATTTTGATTGCCAATCCCTAATATTGTGGTCTAAAAGCACATTTTAGGCCATAAGCCGCCATAAAAACTCTCCTATTGAACCCTAAATTCCAGGCCGTCACGTCGGACCCCTCGTCGGCAAATTTCTGACAGTATAAAGTACTAGGTAAGTACTCCGGTCGATTTGTTGTACGATGGACTGTTGGTATTAATGCTGCGATAATGCCACCACCGGTAGGTTTCGTCTATACATTTCTGCTCTGCAAACACTTTAAAAAATCCTGTACCGGTACACCAATTTTATTTAGTGGCTGACTTAGTGGGGACAATCTTTGGCAAATCTTCTTGGGTTGGTTTTATTCTGGTTGTGACTGTGTTTCTGAACAAAACTGCGAGTAGAAAGTCGGCGCCGCTTATAATGATTCTTTACTATGTACTTTCATCTACCGGATCTTCGCCATGGTAAATGTTGCGAAGGTCAGATCTGCCCAAATTCCTATACCCTTGTTGCCAAAACATAGGACACATAATCCGATACCTCCTTACCGTGTATACAGTTTCAAAATTACTTCGTCGCAATTCATACCAAATAAATAAATCTGGATCCGCCCCTGGTAATAGTAAACGTAATAAGCCATTGCATGAAAAATGTTGATTGATCAACAAATTTATTAAGTGAAGTTCTGAACAAGCTGTTGTTTGACCCATACTGATAAAGACTAGTCTGAGCAAATTAGTTGTGTGCTTCAAAAATGCACGAAATATCGCAAGAAAAGTCAGTAACAAGTAACCAGGATTATCCTTGTAAAATATGATGTTAAAACACATAGTACCAATGCCGTAGCCAGCTATTGGGACAGTCCAACACAATTTTTCTAATGGGTCCACAAAAAGAATGGGTCCATATTTTTTAAAATGGATCCAAATTATGCAATTTTATGCATAAAATGAATCCACATTTTTAAAAATGGGTCGAATTTCTTATATTCAGCCTAAAATGGGTAAAATTTTAAGAAAATGGGTACAGATTACAGTATTTGAATTTACGTGTAAAGTGGGTCCACTCTGATATTGTCACACACTGTCTGAAAATCCTGGCTATGACATTGCATAGTACAAAGTAAAACTAATTACTGTAATACGCTTGAAAGTGTTTTATTGACACAAAAACAATATTCGAATGGAAAAAATAATTATAGTTACAAAATGCACTGTTGGCTAAGCGGGTCCAGTTACGGCCCCAAACTTTAAGGTTGGGGTATTGAATCTCATGTCGTGCCTTCCGCTAACTTGTATCCTTGGGCAAGGCACTTTATCTGTGTTTGTTTCTCTTCACCCAGTAATATAAATGGGTTCTTCTTTGTATACCGTTTTCTGTTTCTTTTTTTCTGAGCGCTCGCTCAAATTGTTGCACAATACATTGTATAATGCGCTTTATATTAGATTGGATGGCTTTGAATGTGTTGGCTTTGAATGGTATCACTGTGCTATTTAATGACAACATTAACTGGGTACACTCTCAAGGTATATGGGGAAGGCAAATTGGCAATGTGGTTTCCATTCTGATTGTTGAACTTGTGGTCAGGAGTTCAAACCACAGGATGCCAAATCTCAGCCGGCCATGCTTAGATACCCCAACTTGCAATTTTGACAGGCTGTCAAGTGGTTCAGGCAATGTTTTAGTCCTACCCGTATCCATTTTCATGGCACATAAGTAAAATAGTAGTTAAGTAACCCCTTACCTAGAAGTGGCTTTCGAGCCTTATTTGGGGTAATTTCAGTTAAAAAAAAGTAGAGGTTGCACTTTGTGCTGTTTGCTGATTTATGGATCCATGAAACAACGTTGTAGGTGCTTTGAGACATTCTTGTGTACGTTATTACTCTATTAATTATTATTAGTTTAGTTAACGATATTGTGTTTAACTGTAGGACAGTTTATACCATTTTTGGAGGCTTAAAATGGGGTGGCGCTTTCCATGCCCTTTCCAATGTTCAAGTTCAGAAGTTAATAGTGTCTGTGCCCGCCGCCAAAACTTTGATTTCGGAGGTTTTGCGCACTATACCCGAAAACTCCAAAATCAGAGTTTTTAAAACTTTTAATCAACCCACCAATTTTTTCAAGTTTTCGCGTATAGTACGCAAAACCTCCAAGATCGGAGGCTTGTTTAAAAGTATGACAGCTTTGGTTTTGCGTCTAGTACGCAAAGTTTTGGCGGCGGACGCAGACACTCCTACGAATGGAATTAACTACATACATGCATGTTTTTCTCACATATTCCCATAGTACAGTAGGCCTATCATAGGTCCTATGTCATCGTAAAAAAACGTTTATAAAGAAATGCTTGTTATCATTGTATTTTTTTTAGCAATGCCTCAGCAGATACTTGGATTTCATGGGTATTAATTGATAAATATTTCATCAGACGTGGTCTGATGAAGTACAACAGTGTTAAACTTCTGACAGACATTTAGAAACAAATTTAAAGAGACAATTGAAGAATTGTGTAGAAACAAGATTCATGGAAGCTGTCCCTGACTCCTTGCTATCTGTTCTTTGAGGACCATGATGCTCTGTCTCTGTTCCGAAGGCAGCATGTTGATTTGTTCATTTGAAAGTTGCAGGACCTGCATGATGAGAGCCGCCTAATGGAGATAAAAGATAAAAGAAATTTATATATGATAATCTATAACAAGGAACTATTGGCCAATACCCCTTTTACACTGCAAGCAAAACTCCGGACACAACCCGGGATTTTACAATACCCGGGCTAGAAACTCCCAAGTTGTGGTTAGTGTAAACGACAAAAAATACAACATTCCGAGTTTGATGTGCCAACCGCATTCAGCGTTGGAGTCGCCAGTTTAAACAACACCGAATTCGATTCCGGAGTTAGACCTTACCTGGCGCCTACTGCAGTCGTGGTCAGGTAGGCCTATACTTTGCTAGCGACGGGCTTGTCCAAGACACTTTTCAAATTAAACCTCCTGCGCTCCCGTATACACTTGACAACAAAACTGCTGATTTAATTCGTATAAAATCTGAAGATACATTGCTTCAATAATTACAATAATTGCCGCTTTGTCACGGCGAGGAACTCGAGCGAAGTGATCTTCACCATCGCAACAAAAATTGCGGGTGGTATTTGAAAGCATGTTCGTTGCCGGTGTAAAATAGGAGCAACTCGGGATCAACCCAGACATTTTCGTTTTATGTAAATGGAAATGCATCCAGTCTCCTACGTTCTCTGCATACTTAGAATTGGCCAAATGGCGTTTTACAATCCATGCCATTGCGAGAATTCAACGTTCTTGCATGCGCAGATGACAATCAAAAGCTCCCTAATAGCCGTTCCTTACCTTCTCTTGCTCTTGAGCCGTTGGGTTTGGTTGACCTCTTTGGGGTCCTGGTTGTGGCAATCCACTGGGCATTTGTAGTGGTGACTGTCCGTGGTGTACATTATGCTGAGGTCCTCCTGGATGGTGTCCACCTCCTTGACCCTGCAAAAAAAAATTGATTACATTGATTCAGTTACCGTAAAACCTCGAATAGAAGTCCAATGGGCTTAATCTCCAGAAGAAGCCGATCTCGAACTGAAGCCGCCCTATTTTCACTTTTAGCCTTGAAAAGAAGCACATAGGCTTCTTTTCAAGATAGCATGGACTGTTTTTTCGACACATGAATTTCAAAGAAACAAAATAAATTAGAAATATGCTTGGCTTTCACAGTAGTTAATGTGATTTATTGCGGGATACTCTCCATGATATTACAGTGGCCCTATTTATTGTTTTATAGTAGTAATTCTGAAAATTTACAGCATTCCTTTCGAGAAGCCCCTTCTTTTATACTTTGCAAACGTAGCCTCGGAAAAAGCCTGTCCCAAAGAGAAGCCCATCTCGATAAAGAAGCCTGTCCAAAGTTTTTTGAAAAAAGACCACCATGATGAGTATAGCACCTCCGGATGGCTGGTAATTGCACTCTCATACAATTTGAATATCATTTTCTTTTTTCTACATTTTTTTTAAATTTGGAAAAATTTAGGGGGAATGATGGCTGGGCTCCTTGACCTGCCAGTGGTAGATCTAGGAATTCAAACTAGAGGGGGAAAGGGAAGGACTTTCACAGATTGAGGGTCTGTAACACCTTAGCCCCACCAAGAAAATTTATGATTATGGCACCTCTAGATGTCTGGAGATGTAACTCTTAAGACTTCAATTTCAATATAAATTTCTTTTCTATTCTTTAAATGTTTTGACAAACTTAGGGGGTGAAGAGAGCATGGATAGTAAGGAAAATGTCATCACTGCATTCCTTCATCGCTGCTGCTGTGGATGGACGTTGGTTAGAGGATCCAGAGCTTCACTGACAATCGCACAATAATCTCAGATAAATTTGTATAGACAACCAATAATTTTTTTTGTATTGTTTTTATACTTACTCTGAAATTCACCATGGCAAACTGTGCGAAGGTCTAAATCCGCACAAGAAAAACAAGAAAAGGTGAACAAGGTGATTCAGTTAGCTGAATAAAGCTGTTGGAATGACAGTGAAAGCTACACTAAAAGCATATATCTAAGTTTAAGGTAAATATAAACAAAAAATACATTTAAGCCAAAATTTTAAAATGTTAAATGTAAGAAAGTGTATGAAGTATAGATCTCTAGAGTGTTTTGACGGAATAAGCTGGTGTTATAATTGGTACATACCCCAGACGGTCCGATTGAATGGGCCCCCATTTGCCGGTTGAAATCATGCGGTGCTCTTGGGTCATGAACACGCGACTCAGGAGCTCTATCGAACCCTCTATCAAATCCCGGACCACGCCGATCCATAGGTAATCCTCGGTTGTCTGTTGACCCATGATGGTCGATTGGTCTGTCAGATCCTCTAGGCCCCATGCCACGGGCCTCCATGCCTCTCGGCTCCATGCCTCTCGGCTCCATGCCTCTCGGCTCCATGCCACGGGGTTCCATTCCTCTGGGTTCTATGCCTCGGGGCTCCATGTCCCTCGGCTCCATGCCTCGATCCATCATTCCTAGTGGAAAGTCAAATTTCATGAAATGTTGCAATTACTAAATGAACATTAAATTCTTCTCTTCTGCAAATTTAAAAAAGTATCTTTCATCATATTTTTAGATGGTGACCTAACCATCTTACCATTGGTGGTCAGCTGATATTTAGGACCGTCTTAACATCATGCATTATAAACTACTGTAGGTTTCAATAATATGAGGTACAGAGACTGGAATACATCACATAAGTTGCAACAAGCCAAACTAGTCACTCGTTGCAGATCATGTTTCTCAAATAATGGCCAAAACATGGTGGACTTTCTTGAAATTTATTTTATTGTACTAAACTAACCTTCATATATCTATACATGGTCCCTGGTTCAATTCCCATCGCTGTCTCTCCTTGTATTTCAGCTGGAGGGCTCAAATACAAGTTATAATAGTGCACCGTCTTTCAGATGAGACATTTAAGCCGTTGGTCCTGTGTGCATTTATGGCCCATGTGCATGTTAAAGAACACAGTACACCCTTCGCAAAAGAGTAGGGGATTGTCTCCCGGTGTACTATCCAATCACCACCAGAAGGACCCCACTGGAAATAAGTCTTCTTCTAGACTTTCATGGGCTATCCTTGGTGTTTACACCGAATAAATCCAATCTAATCCAGTCGGGCCAAGCTAGATTATTAACCCTATCAATTGAAATATAAATCAGACGGCAAGTATGACATCATTACCTCCTCTGTCCGGTGCTCTTTCTTGTGCAGGAGGACCTCTTGGGCCATCTCCAAGTAAGCCTCCTCTCAGTAACTGTTGCTGGCTTGGCATTTGGTTTGGAATGGTCATTGGGGGACCAGGCATTGGTGCACCAGGCATCGGTACATTTAATCTTGGTATGCCATGGGGACCACCAAGTGAAACGGGACCACCTGTTTAGCAGGGTAAAAAGAAAAACTGTTTAATAATTGATACCATTCATCATCATTCGGACATTCAAACATTAGAATACTGTATACCATAATTCTTAACTTCCCCTCTAGCCTATTATTTTAGGAAGACAGTTCAGCTGCATTAAATTGTTAAAATTATACCCTGGTCTTATGCTCAAATAAAGGCTAGTGTCTGAAATGAATCCTGAACTAGGGGATGGGCCTACACTCGAACACAAACTTATACTCGGTAAAATACAGAAGATAGAAAATAGGTTCCAGCAGGAGTGAGAGCCTCATGGCAGCCACCCCTAGTAACCTGTTCATTCCTGTAGTGCACTCTTTTTTCAGATGTTTATGTCGCCAGTTTCTTCTTGTTAGATAGGTATTTATTTTACTTTTGCAGCATCACAGGCGCTGATGTCGCCTACAGTCATCCTAGTATAGCCAAAATTGGCTTTTTTAGGATTATCCTGTCAAGTATCAAGATGCGAGTGTGTACTGCCTACTTTAAAATTATAGTAATCTATTGATGTTACATTAGTTTAGCTATTTTCACAAGAGGGGTTACATTCGTGCTTAAACTCCTGTGTTCGAAGTGGTATCACTAAAACTTATAAACTATTAGCATCCTTACTGGAACATTGTGAGAGTGGTGGTGCTATATATGCGACCGTGCACACCCTTCAAGCATCCAAAGTAAACCATATTACAGTGTCAAGTTAACATAATCTTTCAATTTGTTAGCATAGAGTCTACTACCCCCGCAAGAGGGCGGCAGACAGAAATACCTGTCCTACCTCGTGGTGGATTCCCAGCGGGGATTGGTGCGGCGGGCTGCAAAGGTGGAGTTGGGTCATTCTGTTTATGAAGCAAGGTCTGCCGAAAAAACACAAGTTAATGTTTATATGAAACACAGCTAAAACTTACAGTTCATGTTTGAACAAAATTCTTTAGATATTTTCTTTACAAATAAAAAAAAATGTGAGTGAATTTATTTTTATTTTTTGCCAGATGCCCTACAAATTAGTTTAAAGTTGCTGTCTGATGTAGGATATTGCCATTCTAGGCCTCTGTGGGTTATTTTTATTCCATATGAGTATTTAATAAAAAAAATAAATTAAAAAAAAAACTTTTTCCACCCGCCCCTAATTGTAATTTAAAAAAAAAAGAAGGGCAAACAAAAAATTTGTTTTATTTGGCCTCATCATCTTCATTACTATACGGAACATCATCATCATCATTATCAATCATAAAATTTAACATTCAATTTACATTATAGGTTTTGCAACAGATTTTAGGCTTGAGGATATTTTGATAGAAAAACATGGTATTGGTTAAAATGACTTTATGGGATATAATAAACACAAACCATAGCTATCTCGGGATTGACAATCCTCATCACCACTTGGGCCTGCAGAAGAGCGTAGGCTAGCTGCGGATTCTGTAGCAACATATTACGTGCTTCAACCGGATTATTTTGAATCACCGTCTATAACAATAAAGGCAGATGATTAACAGAATTTAACTTTTTTTAATTCAACATTTAAAAAAGCAACAGTGAACAATTTGGTTTAACTACTGCAGTATTAAATTATATGTTGTACAACTGATTTTTTTTACAACACATATTTGAGGAAAAACTTGTCAGCTTTTAATGACATACAGATTTTTGAATACAGTTGAACTTACCGAAGTCAAACCAAAATGCCACACAAAAAATTGTTTGACTTAGATAAAATATGACTTACACGTCAGTTTGGCATGAAAATTACATAAGTAAGGCATGGTCGACTTAGGTAAGTTTAACTGTATTATATAAACTGGGGGGTTTAACTGTTTTTTATAAACTGGGGGAAAAATGTGGAAAAAAGTTGGGTTACATCAGTTTTCCCCCCTGCTTTTTAAATATTAAAAAATCTGTACAAAACTGGAAATTAAATATATTGTTATGTGACGTGTTCTCACAACACCCAAAGTGGCAAGTTATCATTTGGAGTTTTTTACAATTTTTATAAAATGTGACAAAGACAAACCAAACCAGTCACTCGTCGCAATTCATGTTTCAGAGATAATGGCCAAAACAAGCTGGAACATCAAAATTGTTGAAATCCATTTTATTGCACTAAACTAACCTTCATGTATTTATACATCATGCCATGCTGTTATTTCCCCCATTTTCAATGTTAAAACAACAATTTGTAACGATTTGGTGATGGTCTCTGCCTGAGAAATGCCAGAAATCATAAACTTTGAAGGCTGATTTCTCGAGTATTGTTCTACAGCTCAATTTTTAAATGCTTGTAATTTCATGAGAAAATGTCGGATTTAAATGATTCTTTTACCATTTTCATTTCATTGTTTTACCTTGTATTAATAAATGAAAATAGATTTTTGCGACCAGTGACTGGTTTGGCTGGTCTTTGCCGAAAATATGCATTTTGTTTTGGTGGGTTGCTAAAGCATTTTGTGACTGGTCACTGTGCGTGCAGTCACGTGCAAAGTGTGTAAATATTTGCCAATACACTGAAAGTGGCTACATTAATTATACAGTAGAACATATCCTTTTTATAAATAAGAACAATCATGCTTTGATATTTCGTCACTTTGTCCAGGTTTCAAAATATGTCGCATATACGCATACATAAGGCCTAAAAAAAAATAGTTTGTTTGCTGTCACATTGTAAATATTTAAGTGAAGGGGCAGGCGGAAGAAAGATTACAAAAACGGTCTGTATAGGTTTGTAGAAGATGAAGGGTGGGATAAAAAATTTTTTTTTTTTAAATGTAGAAACTGAATATATGTACACTATAGGTCTCCTTGCAATTTGGGGCTAATTTGTTTGTGGTTTGAGATTGGAAGAAGGATCTTTAATTGGAGAAAGCCGGATGATGGCAAAAACAAGTTGGTTTTTTTTAGGCCTAATGATAGATTTGAAGCCTGGAAAAGTTTACACTGCTGTCTCTGATTGTTTTTTTCACCAATCTCCAGTTTTTAAACTTAAAACAAAAAGCATGTCACAGTTTGGTGCCTTTACACCTGAATTGTGTGTTTAAAGTTTTAAAGGACTGTACCTTCATCTGTTTCATTAACTCAAACATCTGTTCAGGCGGAAGACTTTCAACTGCTTTAGAGATGGCCTCAGGTGCCTCTGCCGGTGTGACTGCCTCTCCAAACGGTGACTGAAATCAGAAAAACAAATTAAGATGGTTTATCAACCTAAAATCACATATGAACAAGCTAATTTTGTACCTTGAGAAGCACCTACTCACATGCATGAAAAATACATGTAGTATACTCGCCAAATCAAAACCCCAATAATTCCGAGACGATTTTTCTAAGAACCAAATAGCAATCTTCAATCTTTTAACACAGACCTAACCAAATTCAAGACCGAAACTCAAGACCATTTTGAATGTTCAGGTCCCAAAGGTCGTTCACTTAATTTATTTGACACAAAGGTCCTGGGACTTCTGAAGAAGCATTGCTTCCATAACTCAGTGAGCCAGAAGTCCCAATGAATTGTCTAGAATTGGAGGGCAAACTGCAGTGTACCACATAAGCTTTGAAAAACCTAATTATAATAAATAACCAAATAAACATTGTACTGCATTTTAAAGATGGTATAATAGTACTGCCTGAAATTATTACACCAAACATTGGAAAACTACGGAAAACATACTCACCTACCTACGCAAATACTTTAATAATAACAAATGATAATTATGATAACGTTGGAAAAATAAAATTGCAACGTGATACTCATCTCAAATGTATATTATTATTGCTTCACATTTGACAACTGCATTTTGTATATTGCATGTAAACAGTATAATCACCGTCTTCATCTTTAAACCGAACAACGAAACCACTTACTCATGGATGGAGTGAAGCAAAATAGATTAAGCAACTGTCTCCCGAATGCAAAAAAAAAAAAAAAGTGCTCCAAACACCCCGAACCTTGAAGAGCAAGAATAAATAACATTTTCGCACTCGTAACCTCCGCGTTTTGTTTAACATATAAAGTGTTGCAAAGCATTCGTCAAAGAAAAACGGCAGGAACATGAACCCTAAAGCTGGGTCACACGGTAAAGCGACTTTTAGATGACAAATGTATCTTCGCTCTGTGTTAGTGCTTGATTTTGCTGCATCATGTCATCTGGCGATGGTTGGTGACAATCCGGGTACATATTACTGTAACGCATTTCTCGCTACTTTTTTCTTTGAATCGTCCATACATAATTCAGTAAAACGATGCTGTGAGTTTTGCGTTATTCTCCTACCTTCACCCTTTCCTACCTTTTACTTACAAAACTGTTTCTCTGTTCTTTGAATCTCATACTTTAACTCTGCTGCTCATTATATTTTCACCTTGCCATTTTGTTTACTTGTAACTGGCACTTAAAGACCTTGTTAATTTGTTAACACAAAGCCTCGTCTGAAAGGTGCATACACAAAGAGTTAATCGTTGAATAGAGGTAACCTCAGTTTAAAGCGCGGACCAGCGAACGGTCGCTCTTGTTCACTTGTGCTTAACTTGTATAAATTATATTACTTTGTAATACTGTATTATTATATAAAAAAAAAATCTAACCTCTGGTAAAACAGTTACAGTTCCAGTATCTGAAATAAACAAAACATGTTCATTATTACATAGTAATAAATCATTTCAACTATATACAATTTTAAGGAATCAAATTTTGAGAACTAAAATTTCTGAAGTTCATACAGTAAAGCCTTGTTCGCACTGGATTTAAAAAATGGTAACTTTAACCAGGGTAACTTTAACCAAAGTCCAGGGCTCGATTTAGTACTAGCCCGGCGTACAATGTCTAGTAAAAACCGCTCCGGGCTAGCCTATTTACTCCTCATGTTGCCCGGTAGTCTAGTGGAGAATTAGCAAGAAAAACATTTTCTTTAAAAATAAAAAAATTAAAAAAAAGCGGAACTTTCGAGCCAATCCCTGCACAGGAGGTACCGCAGCCCAGACAGTACACTTTAGCTAGCTTTCAGCTCTCCACGTGCGTGAGTGTTTAATTATTAAGATGATCCCCAAGTCATTCACCAACCACTACAGATGGCATGTTATCTTTCTCTCAATAGAAGATGGTTTGATCGTTCAATCTGGTTAATTTAGGTAGTTAGAACATTTAATTTAATGTACTACCTTATATTCATATTATTTTCTCATAATGATATTTTTAAAATGTTCAACTTTTAATAATAAGTACTTAAATGCTATAGGTAGGCTAGCCTAGGCCCTAGGTCTTGCCTAGGCCTAGGTAGCCTAGCCTAGGTAGCTTAAGCAAGATTTATTGCCATTGGGGGTGAGTGACTTGAGACCTAAAGATTTAACAGATGCATTGGTTTGATTGATTTCTGGGCCCTTTGTTAAATATTAGAAAGCCAAAGTTATAACCAGGGAGATGTAAAACATGCTCATCTGTCCCTGTTATAACCAGAGTCATTTTGCAGCATGGTGATTTTTTTATTTATTTATTCAACAATATTTTGAGAGGGTAGCTCAAACAGCAATGCTACAGAAATTATGAAATTGCAAATCAACCTTCAAATTTAATTGTCGCTAATAAATATTTTGAAACAAAATTTTTTCCTGTCTGTGGGCTAGTAAAATAT